ATGAATGTCCTAAAGGTTTAGTCTCCAGTTCTATCAAACGCTTTCCACCAAGTTCTTCATTTTCATGATCTCTACTGAGCTCTTTGTAAGTGCTCAAATGAATCTGTCTAGCCATGGCCCTGAGTCCCATGGTGGTCAGACTTCTAAAAGGCAGTTTCCAATTTAATATCATGACCCCCTCATAGATGGCAGGAAATAATCAGTCATCCAACCGGCACTAGTGCAAGACTCAGCACTCAAGAGTTTAGTTTGTCCTTCTCTCCATGCCATCTCCCCCTAAACATCAAAACATTTTGATGCTATTTCTGTAATCTACTCCTGCTTATTTGGATATATAACTTTGCGGCGCAGATCAACTCAATCCTAAAATTTCATACAATCCAACTTCCCTATCAGAGCTGAATTATCATGACATCTTAATGTCATGGAGAAATATTAATCAGGTTCTACAGTTTATAATTTATGTTCTTTTCTACATATAGTTGAATATATTTGATATTTCAATAACCAAGTTTTAAAGAGTATTCATTGTGTAGCAAGCTTAGTCCATAGACTTGAGTGCATGCATAGCTTCTGGAATCCATTAACCCCCTTCTCATTGTTTGCAAAAGGTTATGTGGGTGGTAACTAGACTGCATTTATGTTTTCAAGAGTAGTGATTCCCAACCCTGGCAGGTCACCAGAACCACCTAGAGTAGTGCTACTCAAAGTGTGGCCTATGGGCCTGGGCCGGTTTGCAAACTTTTACCAGTCAGACAAGAGAAGTACAGAAATAAAGAGTAAGTTTAGAAACTCTTTTCTTTGACATGGCAACTGGACATTGCTATAATATTCAAGTGTGTAATTATTTTTTCTAATAATTAATTTTACTGTATTTCACAAAAGTATTGGTATTGATTTATAACAGATTGGAAATCAAAGAGAAAAAAACTGGTCTTTTACTAAAGACAGTTTAAGAATCACTGATCCTGTCCCCATGCATGAGATTTTAATTTCCTAAATCCAGGGTGGGTCCCAAGAGTCTCTAAATTTTAAAAAGGTCACCAGGTCGCTCTGCTAAGAATGGAAACCACTATTATAGGTCCACTGCTTTAGAACCATATCTTTTATTTTCTGTGATTGTTGCTTTTGTATTTAGGGTTAGGAACCTATTAGAGCTGATTAGAGTTTTAACCTGCTCATCAGAGAAATGCACACGCTCAGTAAATTCAGCGATTATAGGCGGTTCTCAGATGCGTGGTGGCAAACCCCTGGTGTGAACATCGTGGGAGGATGGAGAAAGGTGAACCAATGTTAAGTAACAAGTCCCGATACTGCTGTTGAACCAAAGGCTTTGTAAAACACATGTGAAACTTGGTGGATAATTGATTGTCTGTAGTTTTTTATCATGTTGCCCTGTTTCTCTGGCTTATTAATCCTGTGAAACTCCACATGAGCACTTTATGAGGACAAACATTTTCAAAGGAAGCTTTAATACCATTACAAAGCACTATAAAATATTTGCTTCTGAAAGCAATGAGTAGAGAAGAAAGGGATTCCCAAGGTGTGATGGTGACTCATTCTAAACTTTAAACACCGAACTTCAGAAATACATGGAATATTTCTAAGGATGCAGGATTTCTAAGAGGACTCTCTTAAATTCTGACAATCACCCACGATAAAGTATGAACTGTAAAAATATAAGATTAATACAGATTAAAATATGTATAAGACACACTATGGAAGAAGATGCCAGTATATGCTTCTGGTATGAATAATTATTATACAATAATTATTATAAATGAGTACCAAGTTAGATTCTGAGCTTCCTCTGAGCTAAGGCAAATGGGAAACATACATTCCTTAACTTTTTAAAGTGAGAAAGATAGTACATTATTTTAAAATCTTTACATAAAAATTCCTTACACAAATGTTTCATGAGAGGCAAACAGTATGGTAAGCAATAAATGTATCCAGGTTGCTATACCCCCGCTCCGCCCCCACACTTTCTCTCTCGCTTTCTCTCTCGCTTTCGCTTTCTTTCTCTCTCTCTCTCTCTCTCTCTCTCATTAATCCCATGAAATTCCACATGAGCTCTTTATTAGGCTTGAGGGAGGGGGTCAAATTACTTACTTTTCTTCATTTCTTCGTTTCCTTTACATATAGTTTGTTTCAGTTGTTCAATCCTCATCTTGCAGGACATTATTTTCCATCTCTTAAAAAGTATGTAATAAATATCAGAAACTGGTCTCTTAAATTAATATGATTATCTACCTGGTATCGCTACCTAGTTTCAGGTATATCTTAGAAAGCATAATGAAGAAAAGACCAACATAGTTATACTTATAGCTTTTGTAACTATGGTGGATTACAAAAAAAAAGAGACAATGTTATTCTTGTTCGAAACAGAACCTGCTAGGAAATTAAGAGTGAAAGAGAAATTCATATAGTTCTTTTGTATAGTGTTAAGGAGGAGCACAGAGAAAAATGTTGAAGGATATTCTCTTAATATGCTCTGTCTAAAATATAGCTAGTGGTAACAGGTGGCTATTTAAAAGTCAACTAAAATTACGTAAAATAAAAAAATTCAGTTCCTTACTCACACTACCCACACGTCAAATGCTCAACACCACTTATGACGAATGCCTACCATACTGGTCTGTGTAGATACAGAACATTTGCATCATCACAGAAAATCCTATTGATGCATTGCTCTAAACTCTTAGTGCTAGTTACGGAGGAGACCATTAACATCACTGTATTATCTCACCAATATAATAAACGAATATTACTTCTGAAATAATTAACCCATTTTCTGTTTAGGAAAAAAAGTGAAGCTCGCTGCCAGTGTTAATTTAATTTTACATAAATACACTTTGAGGCTGAAGCAAATCTGTGAAAATAAAATATAAAAACTGTTCTTGGAGTTATTTCTAAAGAGAACTTGTCTCTAATCCTAATGTATTTGACTTAAGAAATGTATACTTAAGTCAAATTCATCAAATGAACCTTTGGCTAGTAACTGTTCGAGAACGATGTTAATATCACACATAGGAATGCTATGTTTTCTAGGATTTGACATTCTCAGTGATTGAGAATTACTGTTTTGTAAGTGGAAATACCACTACTAAACACAGAATACTATAAAGAGAATGATGTCATTTGTTTCCAAAGACTATCCATATACTAGAGTGATGTGAAAATAATAACAACAGCAAGATATTTTGTGGCAAACATTGGGGGTAAAGTTAGGACTGTAATCTTCGAGTTATTTTGGGATAAACGCTGTAGCAGCAAGTGACACTGGCGAGTATTCTCAGGGCAATCGGGAAATGGGTTAAAACTGGAATAAAACAGAAGTTTGTAAAAAAGTATATAACTCATGTAAGATTTCTTGAAAAGCCTCAGACAATTTTATGAAACATGAAATTTACATTACCAGGATTTGGGTACAGCCTCCCCCAAGGTGAATAAAAGGATCAGTACAAATGTGACCTAATAGTTAAAAAGTATGATTATCTAGTTTATCTGTAAGTGAGGTTAATTAAACAACACTCAAATGTTTTCAGTGTTTAACATCTAAGTAGTCTGACAGTACAAGACACACAGTAGATTACAGGGATGTTCTGGAGAGCAAAATGCTAGCCTCTCCAATGGAGTGAGGAGACATTTGAAAATAGATTCATGGTGAATGGTGGATTCAGGAATAAACTGGCAATGATATATCTTCACTTTTAAGAGGTATTAGTCTTTAAGAATCAACACTTAAGTTTTTGATAGAAAAATGGGTTTAAGATTCTTTGTAATAACCTTTTATGATCTTTTCCCATACAACATATTTTGTTTCCACAATATTCAGAGCATGAACAGAATTCGCTTGTCACAAATATTCTTTATTATTTAAAAATTATAAGTGATGCTTATTATTGTCAAAAAAATTACACATCGCAGAAGAGAAAAAAGAAAGTGATTGTTAGCATGACTCCTCCCAATTCCTCAAGAGTATTCTCCATTAAGGTCTGGCATCCATCTTTTCAGATTCTTTAGAGTATATGTATAATTAAAACAGATATTCACACGAATGGAACTATACTTCACTCTAGCCTACTTTTTGATTTTTCATTAAAAAATATACCTTGGACTGCACTCTTTATCAATACATGTAGACTGACATTCTTTTTAACAGCTACACAGTATCATAATTATTTAACTCATCCTGATCGATTAGCATTTAGATTATATAATAACTTCACTACTAGTGCTGCAAACAATCCGCTTCTTTATACATAAATCTCTGCATTCATGTGCATTTCCTTAAGAAAAATTGCCAGACATACCATATGTGCATCAAAAAGAAAACAACAGACCACCACCAAATTGTTCCCCAAATATGTCAATGTATATTCCCACCAAGAGAATAAAAATGTTATCAAACTCCTTATTTTCATATGTATTTATTTTTCATATATATTTATTTTTCATATGTATTTATTTATGTTCGTTTTGCTTATAAAGGTCCTCTCACTCCCAGGTTACATAAACACTCTCCCATATTTTCTTTTCATATTTTTATGAGTTTACTTTTCGCATTTAATCATCAGTCCATTTAGAATATGTTTTTATAGTAAGTTTCCTTAAAAAGGATAGCCAATTGTTCTTATATTTCTATGTCAGTACCAGACTTCATACATTGTCTACACAATTAATTGCCAATACCCTGTTTTCGGTATCTAGACGAACTATTTGAGACCCCCACATTACAAATATATTCGAAGAGAAGATTGCCAAAAATGATCAAAAATAAATTTTAATGCACTATGGTTTTTTACACTCTATCAACTTAAAAACATGTAATCTTAAGTATAAAGAATATTATTTAAATAGTTCTTACAGCTTACCAACTGATCTGTTATCCGTTTTCCTTCCATAGCTTTTAACACTCTGTATGGAGAAGAGATATGAGAATAAGCTCTTAATAAAATTTTGTGAAGCTCTAAAATGTAAAATCAAGAACTTTTTAAAATAAGGTCTTACAAATGGCTAGAAACACCAAAGTGGGACTTAAGCATTTAAAAGTGTTTTCCAAATTCCCTGTTCTCTGCAATTTTTTCTCACTTTTCCTTTTGCATTTCTAACACAGCCCAGAGCTTTTCTATAAACATTAACAATAAACTTACATAATAACCAGAGCCTCTGTCCTCTGTCATAACTGAAATTTTCCATCAGTCATAATTAATAGTGATAATTAAGAGAATTTATGATTGAAAATCCTATGATCATCTCCCAAAGAAATGGCACAAGCCAATATCTATCAAAATTTGTTCCATGGAATGAAGTGTTATAGAAGTTTCTGTGAGGTGAACACACAACGTAAATACATATATGCTTTACTGTTAAAATGTACAGCTGCAACTTAATGGATTTCGTTAACCAATGTCACCATAAAAATAAAAAATAATAATTAAAAAATAAGTTTCTCTGATCACATAAATTAGAGAAACAACCGAGTTAAATAAATCCAAGCAGGTTTCTCTAATACAGGGCATCTCAGAAGATTTAATCTGCTTATCAATGTGTTATCTGACCTGGGGTGTGTCTAGAGAACAGTGACTAGGTCAGTTTGGGATAGAGTTCTTTGGACAATTCTCAAATCCAGAGGGTAAGATGCATCAGGGGTGCTTGTTAATAACTCATACTCTCAGGCCTCCCTCAGCCCTACTGAATCAGAATACCTGAGGACTGGATTTCAAGAATCCACGTTTTTAACCATTACCTCAGTGAATGCATTCTGATAGAGATGAGATGCAGATCACACTTTGGAAAACACTGATAGAGAAGAAGGTAAATGGAAACAGTAACGGCCTACAGAGGCCACTATCACTCGTCTAATATGCCTACTGTGCTGGGCCCATTTACTATATATCAATTATCAGGGCCAGGAGTTCGATTCACCCACCCAGTCACTGAGTACCTACTGTGTATCAGACACTGGGTCGAATCCCACTGTTTTCTAGAAACTTGATAACTCTATTTTGTTTCTCCAAGATGCAGTGCTCTTCCACTCTTGGAGATTATATCCTAAATTTAGTAAATTAGCAATCCATGTATCCGCATACCACAACACTAAATTAAACCACATGGTGACTAAATAACCACCACAAATAAAAGCCGAAAGAAAACTCACTGTTTTTGAAATTCTTCTTGCTTGCTCTTAAGTTGACTTAACCGTTCCTTCTTGTCTATAAACCTGTAAGAAAAAAATCGGTGTTTTATTTATGTTCATTTTTTTCAGTTCAATGAGATTATGCAAATTCAGAGAGCCAATCTTTTCTGCAGACTCATCTGGAAATGTCATCGTCTTCAAAATAACTACTGTACATATCTTCTCAATGGAATGCACAAGGCTGCTTACCACTTGCTTATTTTAAAACTAAGTTCAAATTCTCAGCTTTAAAATTCTTTCATGGGTTTATAAAATATATTTATAGGTTTTCCCCTCTCCCAGGTTAAATTATTTTCCAAAACAGGCACATCACAGCACTAAAGTGAATTTGAATTAAAAAAAACTGAGGCTTCTGTTATAAAGGTAATTTTAATTGTTATGCTTCATTTAATCCTTCTCTCATCTATAAACTGATTCCCTATCATTTTTAAAGTACATTTTTTTCTTACTGATTTTATTGCTAGTCATTACAGATTAACGAGTTACTTAGTAAAAGTTACCAAAAGGAAGGGATATCATATTGTAGTTCGTTTTCTCTTTGTCAGTCTTCTAACCTTATAATTATTTTCTTCCTGTTAGCTGGCGTTTAGTTTGCCCTCTCCCTCCCTCCCCTTTTTTTCTGTTTCAGGTGGAAACTCAAATCATCTATTTTATGCCTCTTTTCAATATTTAACCATATAAAGTTATAAATTTTCCCCTAAGTATTGCTTTAGCTAAACCTAAAGTTTTTGAAATGGTGTATTTTCATTATCATTTAGTTTGAAATTTCTAATTTTCCATAAGATTTCTTCTTTGATTCTTAAGTTTAGAAGTGTATTGTTTAATTTCCAGACACATGAGCTCTTCTAGGTAACTTACTGTTATTGTCTTCTAATTTGATTCTGATAAGGCTGCAGAACATATCAATTAACTTATCAGGCTTTTTCTATCTGCCTGCAACTTATAACAAAGGATCTTCAACAATATTAAGAAATCTAATGATACATTCTTCTGCTCTGTGTACTCTTGGACATATGAGTTATTTGCTATATGTTTCCACTTCCTTGTATCAAAAATGAAAAGCTGACGTGTTATTTATTTCTTACTAAAGCAATGTGGTGATTCATGTTCCCATAACCTGAAGGAAACAACAAAATGACAAGGCTCATCAAACCATACAAAGGACAGACATGGGGGATAAAATCTTGCTTTTAGATTTTTAGAGGCTATAAAAATTCTCCTTTCAGATCTGTTGTAAAAATGCCACTGCACTTTGCACTAAAACAAATTGGGATGACAAACAACTCTACCCAGCTTTATATAGAGCTGGTTGATTCTCTTGGGCTTTGTTAAAA